ATTTAAAATCATGGTATATGTAGAATTATTTTTCAAATCCTCTCCAAAAAAGTTGCGATTCTAATTTTTGGACAGGGAAAAAAACTGCACAATTTCTCCGAATTCTCTAAATGTATGTAATTGAATTTTAAAAAGTTTTATTTCTTTTTTTTAATGTAGTTTTGATTGGTTTATGAATTTGATGTGTTAATTCCAAGGAAAGGGGAGAGGAACCCCATGCAGCCCCAAACTTTGCAATACAAGGGCCAGGGTACATCTTCTTTGTAAGATAAATACAATCAGGGGTAGACTAAAAAGTGTCAAAGTGATGAGGTCGCATAAGGAAGACAAAGGAGACATTAAATACTTTATAAACAAATAATTATTCCATTATGTTAAAGGATCGGTGATAAGTCCGAGCAAAATGAAGAGGTAGGGGTGGTAGGGGGCAAGATCTTCCTCCTCCTCCTGCTTGTTAGAGATCTGTGAATACAGAGACTGGACGTCGTTTACTCTGTGTCGCTTACTGTTAGTAAGGAGATCAGAGGTTAGACACTGTGTTATGTAGACACTATAACCTTACATGGAATAATAAAATCATAGGGGAGACCATAGGTCACCCAACATAACCCATAAATGTTAAACTCTTATATATCATATGTCTTATAATATTGCAGTTAATGTTGCTCAGCCCCCCTCTATCTTTTCTAATACCCATTAGATGGTTATTCTTTTGACAAAAATAAATTTTCTGGTTTTTTTTTTTACACTGTAAAGGCTTCATAGAATAGGTATGATTTCATGGATAAAAATTGAATACAGCCAAAAAATCAATCAGTTCCTATTTTTTTGGCATTGAGATTATATTTTAGTTAGTTTTGACTATTTGTTTAAAAATAAGAGGGTTTGGGTAAATTGAGGCTCACAATGGGGACTGCACATAGTGAAAAAATGCTTAAATTTTTGCCCTAGCTCTCATATTTTCAATAAATGTACATTTAAATAATTTTTAATAAATATTTATACCGAAATTTACTGTGAATATTGTAAATAATACAATATCAATATTTATGGGCATCATCAATACACAAAACATATGAATATCCCCCTCGCAGTTTGAGAAATTCATTTAAATCCATGTATTTTATGAGTGTAGACATTGGAACAGATTGAGTAATCCTCTTTCAAATTTGTGTTAATCAGAGTTGATTGAATAATTCATAACAAAATTTGACTGCTGTTAACTAATTAGGTTACTTTGTTTTTACATAAGGGGCATAATCCAGCAGCAAAGTCAGATTCAGTCATGTAATCAGTGCTGGCTTGAAATAAAAGTTATACTTTTGGTGAAACTTAGAGATTACTAGTAGGAAATTTAATTTAAATTACTGTACAGTATATATTTTTGCAGAAAATACATTGAAAATGCAATAAACATGCAAAATTATAACTGAAAAAATTATGAAAAAGGTGTCTGAATATCCCTCCTCCTTGCCATATCCAATCTTGATATTCAGCTGAAAAGGGGGGGGGGGGTTAATTTTGTGCTCTAATGATGCTGAAAAATGAAGGAATTTTGTTTAAATTTGGTTTATTTGAATAACAAGAGTCATGCTTATCTGCAGTAATTTTTTTCAATTTCTTTGGTATTTTTAAAAATAATTATCTGAGTAAATTCTATTTAAAAATGATTATTTTAAAGGTATTACATCACAAATGCTTACAAGAAATTTAAAAGAAGGTGTAAATAATAAAAAATTATGATATAAGCTACTAGATGCATTTACCAGTATGTTTTAATAAAATAAAATGTATTTCAGCAATGTACTCTCAAGAAGGAGGAGATTAATGAACCCTTCCCTCTTACAATGAGCAACACATGGACACTCTCAGGATGATCTCTTTGCTTTCATTAAGAGTTCCAAGGTATGGTTTTCTTAGAAAATCTAGTTAATCTCTTAATATTTAAGTTATTTAGAACTTTTTATAGACTATTTGAAAATAAATTTCCTCAGAACTGCAGTTATTTAAGCACTTTGCTTACAATTGAGCACTGTATTCAGTCAGACAATATGATTTATCTGCCCTTGGCATTTAATCAATTTATTAATTATGTCAATAATAAGAAATGATATGCAAATAATTATATTTGCCTTTTATGAGAATATACATATTTAACATCAATTACATGAAATGTTCATGAAAATTGGCTAAAATGTAGGTCATCCCCCTTCAAAATTACAAAATTTTCAGTGGGGATTTGATTCTCTGATGCCAGCAACCCATTGCTGATAAAATTCTTTTTAATCTTATGTACATTTGAACTAGATATAATTCTCTTTCTTTCCATTGATTATTTTATCTACATTAGTTTTTACTCTTTCCATAACCCAGCTTTTTCTTACAAAAACCTGCTGATTTTCTTCATTTTTCATTAATAACGGGTACCTGCTACCCTGAATGATTAACATGATCTACCTTGAGAAATTATTAGAGATAATAAGAAAAACAAGCAAAACATATGCTAGATTAATCATTTTATTTGAAAAGTTTGAAAGAAAAATAGAAAAATGCTTCAATTTATAGACATCTTTTCTGTTTCACAGATGTGGGTCTGATTGACTGGGGTGTGAAATGTAACAGTCAATGGTGTACTTAAGCTAAGACTGTCAGTCCCAATATTCAAGAGGTGAGATAAGCAATGGATATGTGTTCTAAATTTACTTAATTGACCACTTTTTATAAATGTTTCTTTTACTCTATAGGAAAAACCCCTACATAAACAAATACATGGGCGCAGACATTTTGGACACCCAAAGTTGTGCGGAGGAAAAAATGCTAGCTGGCGCGTGATTGGTCAATAAGAGAAAAGACTTGTTATGTATTTGACAAGTGAAATAAAGTTGATAAAAATCTCATATCAAGACTTGGGTTTCTTTGAGATATATAGGAGTTACAGGTAAAAATTTGAAGGGAGGGATGCACTTTGGTTAGAGATTTTCATTTGGTGTCAAACGCACCTAGTTGTAAACAATTGGAAATTGAAAGTAAAAGTGCCGCGTGACGGTATATTTTTTCTGGCATTTTTTGTTTTCCAATATCTCGAACTTTCACGACAAAAAGGTCATTTGCCCGAAATTCAATACATGTATCAGTGAGAGTGGCTAAAGTTTGTATGGAAGTCTATGGGAAAACATTTGGTGGTGTTTGTCCTTCACAGTATTACGATTTATTCTATTTTCATCACTTTACATATGCAACGCACTACATTTTGTAGCGGAGTAAACAGGCCCGATAGTCGTGAACTGAGCAGGGGACCTTAGGTCCTAGTTGAGCGTACGTTTTCGTTAATTTTTTTCCCAAAGCTTTCAAATTGTGATAAGTTTGCGATAAAAGTGACGTAAAACCCGTGGGGAAAATGTGTTTAAATGGTTTTTTAAAAGTATTATAAAAGTCAAATAAACACTAAAAATAAAAGTGAGTAAAACGTGTCGTAAAGATCATACAGATATCAACATTCCAACGGCTTTCCATACTTCCTCAATGGTTATTTTGCCTATGTTTTGTGTGGGTTTTTTTTTAGTTAAACCAGTTTCTAAAAATTTATAATGGTCACTAAATGATGCTGATTACACAAAACGTGTGCTGCAAAATACAGATTTATAAGATTGTTTTTAAGCTTCGTCACGTTACATTGGTTTTCATCGGTGATAATTTATTTTCTTTCAACAGTTGTTGAGATGACTCATTGGTTATAATAATTTGAAAATATCATACAACTCTATCACGAAGTTTTTATATAAATACAATTAGTAGAGTAATTAAACACTTACAAGTTTTGTTAAGTGATGATACGTTGAATTTAAGCGAGGTTGTTGAAGTCCCTGCATCTCATCTGTGAGTAAACTATCTGAGTTAAAAACCTATCAAAACTGTTTCTTTAATTAATAGCGAATAAGCTTGAACCCCATATGTAGGTACGTGTAATAGCTCAATATTACTTCAAAAATAAGGGGAAAAAAGGATAATTGGATGTCAACTGGTTTGTCATGCAATTATGTTTACGGTAGAACATCCAAATATGAAACAAAGGTGGCAGACTCTTTGGTGTCTTTTATTTTCAGTTCACTTGGATATATGAGGAACCTCTGTATCCTTTTAATATCAGATTCAGAGTACTTAAAATTAATGTGACTTTTAACAAAGTAAAGTTTGTTGTTGACCTATTGTAGACCATGTAAACATTTCCGGGTTCCATTTTTATTGAAGAAAAAAAGCTTAGTTTTGAATATAACTTGTGGAATGATTGTTTTAAATGTAGAACGTTGTACGTTTTAGACGTTTGTGGTGATTTTAAAAAAAACTTCTTTAGTGTGATTGAGGATCCACATCTCATCATTTTCACCACATCTAGAATATGCTGTGGTACACAGAACGTCTGAAGTTTCTCCTGAATAGCATGCGCAGTTAATACTGATATGTGCTAGGGAGTAGAGATTAGGACTTGTAAGATAATTTGCTGGATCCAACCATATAATTATATTTATTGTATTTCTGTTGTGAAGTTTATGGAATTCATTGTAGGTGAGGTAGTTCGAAGTAACATTATGTTTAAATGTTTAAAGATTACTGTGAAATCATTTTAATTCGTGTGGGGCAATGCTCGTGGGTAAGCAATTTTTTTTTTGGTTCGAGGGGATTTAAGTTCGTGAATAACTTGTATATTCAGACAATTGAATGAAAAAATATATTGACAAAATAATTGTTTGTGGGGTGTAAATTCAAGGGTAAGGGTGAACCACGAAATCCACGAACTTTGGTCCCCCACAAACAATGATGAATCCACAGTACAACACGAAAAATGTGATTTTGAAGAATTTCATCATTGGGAAGGGAACTCCCTTCCCTATTTGAAGAATTTTCAGACTTTGCTGATTTTTTTTTCTGATGAAGGAGGTCTAGATCATTATTTTCCATGATATATGGACATTATACCTCAATCCTTCATAATTATTTTTCTGTTTTCAGTGTTTTAAACTATCCTCAAAACATAGTTTATTGAAGAAATTGTTTTAAAAGTGTTTAAATATTGTGAATGCCCTCGTTTTTATTTATAACCGGAAAAAGGTTATTATGTCGTACTTGGTCCCAGCGAAAAGTCATTTAGACAGTATTATGTATATCTCCATGAAAGAGTACGTTGTACGTTTAAACTGTGTTCATCTGATATTTTTGAATGTATGTTTTGATGATAAAAACAAATAATTCAACGCGATGAATAATAATACAATTTGAACCCCACTCTTGATTTTTACACGTGTGTAAGCTGAAGTTGAACGCAAGATGGCTATTACCTGTTTAGGATGTTTTGGATATATTTTGTAAGTATTTACTTTTATTACTTCTATTTGATTGAGAGGTCAAACATACATGTATGTAGATTGGTTTTAAAGCATATACACATGAAAATATTTTTTCCTCTTGGGGTGAAGAAATGATGTAAGTATCTTTTTAGGAAGACGAACAGACGCATTTAACAAAATACACACTGTATAATTGACTGTAGTGCAGACATTTACTCAATAACTTCTCTTAAATAAACAGGAAAATTCATTGGAATCACACCCTGAGATCACATGTGTATGATATAAAAGGTTGCTTTGTATCAACTCTTTACCAACTTTAAAACATGTGATGCATATTCAATAATTATAGTCCTGTACATGATAAAAAGAGTTGTAAAACAGCAACACAGGTACTAACCATACAATGCACGAGAGGATTAGACCATAAAAAAATTCGTTTGTTATCCTTTATCAGAAATTATTCTTATATCTATATATTCTACATGTATATGAAAAAACTATGCTTATATTCAAATTAGAACTATTTTGTAGGGAGATGCAATTTCGTACATAAAACTTAACAGGAAGTTAAAACTTAAGAGTTCACTGATGTAGATTTCAGTTTCTGGTCAATCATCCTGTACTCAACGTGTTCAATTTGTTTTGCTTTAGTTTCAACACACATTAATTGTTTAGAGTGAAAATACTTCTATAAACGGATGTTAATATAAATTTTGAATTGTTTTGGGGGGTTTCTTTCAATTCAAATATGCAAATAATGAAAAGAAAACATTTAAAATCTAAATTTATTTAAAATAAATCTAAATATGAGAATGAGATGGAAGCAGTTTATGTTTATTAAAAGTTGTTATGAGCATAGTTGCAACGGAGACATTTGACATTTTACTATTCGAAAAGTGCGACGCATAACCTTTTATCTAACCTTTTATGATATATTTCACTGTAGAAGTATTTTCTTAAACCTTTCATGGCCACTTGTAATTATTTATACTGCAGGCTAAAGGAAATGTATAACTATTGCAAAAAGCATAATTATCTTCTCTAGCACCTCTCGTACGCAGTATATACATGTATTTGTTTATGAAGCATCGATTTTCAGAGAGAGAGAGAGAGAGAGTGAGAGCAGTTGTTATTTCCAGGAAGTTTAATTTGTTTCTCCTTTGACTGTACTCACATGTTTCTTGATTTATAGAAGTGTAATTGTTTAAATGTATTTTAGAATCTGGATGTTTGAATACTTGAAGTAATCTAGTACCCAGGGTAATTAAACTAGTGCGAGTCAATTAATTTCATAAACATGATGTTTTTTGGCCTTTTTAAAATAAATCTAGATATGTTAAAGTAAGATTGTATTGATATTATGTTCACTTTTTTCCATGACGTCATAAAATCGCCAAGAATATTGAAGATACTACAAATAAGAATAAACCGTGTTATCTGTCATATAGGGGGTTAGCAAAAGGCTATTTTTCTAGATTTGATCAAAGAAAATAATGCTTTTTTATAGTTTATATAGCTTTTAGAAAATTCTAAATTGTTTAAATTTTCAAGTCAGTATCATCAAAACGTACGACTTTTCTACACTTGTCACAGACAACACAACTGTTTCTGGAAGCCAGAGTTTTGCCTATGTTGTGATTACTCACAAACAAAACTGCCTAGTCAAGATCACCTTGATCCTGCACACAAGTACTCTGAAGGTGATATTGACAATGTTTATGTAGTCTTTGCAGAACAAGTCTTCCAACAACAAACTTTTAAAATTCTGATGTCATAAATTGTGCTTCTTTGTTCTCTAAAGAGGTTTCTATGAAGTAGAATTAGTCAGTTTTAAATATTTTTATATCCGAAAGATCCAAAATGAATTTGAACTACCCTATAGAATTATATATTGGATGCCAAAACGAGAAATTAAAGTCCAATTTTTTTATATCATTGACAGCTGCTTTTCTAATAAAAATGGAACTCGTAAATTTACTTACTTTGTCTTTGGTCACTTGCAAAATTATTTTGTTAAAAACATTCTGATTGTACACACAAGTACTCTAAAGTTGACATCATAAAGATGCTTGAGTTTCTGATTGACAATATCTATGTGGTTTTTGGAGACCAGGTCTTCCAACAATCTATTAGAATTCCCATGGGTACCAATTGCGCTCAGTTATTAGCAGACCTATTTTTATACATGTATTCATATGAAGGAGAATTTGTGCAAAATCTTATGCGTGAAAAGAAGAAAACACTTGCTGCACCCTCTAACTCGAAATGTAGATATATCGACGACGTACTAGTATTGTCAATTAACAATGATAATTTCCATTCTTATGTCGATCCAATGTATTCTGGTGAGCTTGAGATAAAAGATACTACAGAGTCTTACACATCTGTTTCATAATTGGATATTTTAAATGAAAAAGACGTCAATGGTAATCTAACAACGAACCTCTAGGATAAACGTAATGACCTTAACTTTTCTATTGTAAACTTCCCTTATTTATGCAGCTATATACCTTCATCACCTGCATACGGAGTTTATGTATCTCAAATGAGCATGCTCTACGTATTAACGATTTCTTAAACGAGGTAAATTATTTACAAACAAGTTAATGAAACAAGAATTTCAGCTGTCTCGTATGAAGTCGTCATTTCGTAAGTTCTATGGTCAATACAATGATTTTGTCAGCAAATACAATTTATCATTGAGTCAAATGCTGACTGACGTTTTTCACAGAAATTGTTAGTCCCATTATTTATACACTGAATTGAGGAGGATTCTCCCGTTATTTCCAGATCATGACAAGGAGCACACGGCGGGGATGACCGGTCGGCAGGGGATACTCACTCCTCCATGGCACCTGATCCCACCTCCGATGGTTTAGAAGTCCGTGTTTGCTTTGCTCCTTTTTTGTATTGCTTAATGGACTTTTGATCTTGCATACTGTTCGTTATCTCCATATGTTTCATTACATAATGAATGCCTTCAAACAGACATTAGGATATTTCGATGTATCATGATTTTAAAAAATAGATCATACATTTTATGTGCCGATTTGATATATCCGAGAGAGTCTTGAAATAAAAAACATATCTTATTCTTACAATGAAATATATGGAGATAACGAACAAAATTCAAGATTGAAAGACCATTCAAACAAAACAAAGCATCAGGAGCAGAGAAAACACGGACCTCTAAAACATCAGAGGTGGTGTCAGATGCAACGAAGGAGTGAGCATTCCTTGCCGACCGTTTACACCCATATGTTTTCATGTTTTACTGACATTCCATAGACAAGTACCAACTATCAAATAATTGTTTGACAAACGAGATGATTTAGACTTTTCGTTTTTCTATCTTTACCCTTTCATGAGGGATATGGAGATAAGGATTAGTATTCAATATCAAAGTCCATAATAGAATAAAATATACTGTGTACCTAAAGCAATTTACAAACGAGGGAACCTAAAACAGAAGTCTGTAATTGTCAGATGGTAACGTTGGTGTGAACTTGCATCGTCATCTTTTTTCGGAGAAGGGGAAATTCATTCACAAGGATGACGTATGGGAAATGGGAATGAGACTCATTCATTAAAACGTCATGTTGATAATGTAGGGTTATTTGACTTATTGTGGATGTATTTTATTGCTATATTTTTATTTCAGTATCGGCCTGGTCTGATGAGCTAAACCTAACATGCCGGGTACCTGCTGCAAACAGTTTGGGAAATGGTTTTTAATTGTCCTCAACATCATATTTTTTGTGAGTATCTCTTTTATTATATTCTGGGGGAATGTATACAATATAATTTTGGCAATTTCAAACGGAGGAATTTTATTTTTCTCTTTTTGTTGTCATGTGTCCTTCTATAATATAATGTATAAATGAGATAACTAATCAAGTTTTACTTAATATGTCCTCTTAACCAATCAGGAAAACAATAGAAACAATGATTTGTATGTATGAAATTAATACATTTGACTTAATAAGACTTTCCAGAAAATTATACCAAAAAATCCAATGAATTGTTTCACTTGAGTTTGTTTATGAGGATCATTTAATCAGATTTTTAAAAATGTTACAAATTTTAATTGCCTGTTTCTTTAACCAGTACTGAATATTTTTAATTGTTTATAGTTATGCTGAAAAATGTTCACCCAGTATAAACGGTTAAAATTGAAATATCTCCATTGTTTTACAAGCACACACAAAAAATGTGATATTCTTCAATATGCATTCTAAATGAATTAATGAATTACGACAGTAAATATTATAATGATTATGCCTCATATTTTTATGTTTAGGTAAGAAAAAATATTCGTCTTTCTGATCATTGTGTCAATTGTTCTTAATATCATGATTGGACATTATATTCATTGAAAAAAGTAAGCAACGCTCCATACTTTAAACTCTTTTCCATTTGATTCTAATGTAATTGTTATTGATGTAAATCAATATTTTGATTTTTTAAGATGTGAAATTTAGCGCAAATGAATATTTTACATTAAAGTTATCATGGTATGTGACAAAATAGGACAGGAACAAAACACGGAGTCACAAAGTTCATTCATGTTTCAGTATGGATAGATATTAACTCTTAAGAGCACGAATGTTTTTGGTATTATGAGTATACTATGATCTTGTGTAATAACTTAACCACTTCGAAAAATACCTAATTGCATCTAAGGGAAGTAGACCATTTCCGATTAATGAGATAGGAGACAAATCAAACTGTATGACCCTCAACTTTTACTCCAACTACTCAAGAAAATGTAAATATTGTATATCTGATTGTCTTAATGATTTCAGTTATTTTTTTCTAAGGTTACAAACCTTTCCAGTGTCATATCAAATATTACGTTCATCTAAATTGGTTGAATCTGATTATAATTGGTTGAATCTGAATATAAAATATAGAATGTAATACTAAAATTAATGTGGCAATGAATTTGAAAGACATACTATTGTTTTGCATTATCGAAAATTCTGTTGTATTACTTACCAAATTACTAAACTTCGAAAAACTTCATTTGAAGCTGCTAATGTAGACTTCAAATCTATGTTATGACTTGAAGACATGTTAATTGTCAACTTTTTGCTACAGTGTAGTAAGAAAATATAATTGATATCAATATTGCAAGACCATGACGATTTTAAAGGTTTATAAACATGATAATATTTACTTCCAGTTACTTGGTATCGGGTTATTGGTAGCAGGAATCATATTTAAAATTAATGCAGTATTTGTGGAGGTTTTCCCACCTTGAACAAAGTCCAAGTGGTTGGAAACAACCTTGGCGATCTTTTGAACAGCGTTTCATCTTGGTGATCATTATCGGCATCTTTGTGGCGTTGGTGGCGGGTTTTGGACTATTTGGAGTGTATTGTAAAAAAAATTT